TCGCGCGCCGGCATCACTACACCCGGTTACTCTATACTCGAAACCGTTTACGGTTGGCATCTTACCTTTCACCGCACTATCACTAGTTTTGAATGTTACGCGTGACGTCGTGAAGTGATTTTGGTGATTTGTGGCCATTCGGAAGCACCTCTACCGGTACTTATATTGTTTATGACACACTTCTTGAGCACAGCCTTCTTGGTCATTGACATTAATTAGCACTTGTGTATCCTGTTTAAATTTTTATTCGTTTCCTATTTTATCCAATTTATTTATATTATTTAAACCATTTTAGTTATCTTAGTTTATACCTTACCTTACTTGCACTGCTAACTTACTTATAGTTCCGTAATCTAAACACAGCATAAAAGGTAATTCCTGGCTTAATTCTGCAGTAGTTAACGTGATTAGGAAAGCTAATTAGCATATAATGGTATGTGCAATACCACTCTATATATTTTGTAGCCATATGTATATTAAGTAGCATGATACATGTATGCACTTGCGGCAACTATGTAGCTCTACGGCGCATACAAAGTACTCTACTGATAGCCACACCCAGATCATACCACTGTCTCACTCACACCTGTGGTCAAAATAATTTTCCGTCGCAATTTTCCCAATCCAGTTTATACCATCGTTTAGAATCTGGATAATAATCCCAGTTTAGTGAGTTTCGTGTTCCGGTCATTTGGGGTTTGTTTACGTGCGACGGGCGTCCGCATAGATAATTTAAATTGTTGTTATTATTACGTCGTCTTGGAAGGAAATAGCTCGTTCAACTGCTCAATGTTTGCTTTTGTTCTCTTCTAACTTCTTTGTTAGTCGTTATTGTTCCTTTGTTCAGTATTATAAGGCGGCCGCGTTGGGGCAGAGCTATTTATAAACATTAAATTGTTGATTGAATTCTATTGTACACTTTTCTTAATATCAATTAAGATAAGCCTATTCCTTATCTATTTGGTACCATTCCTCATCATACAAAACCTTTCTCTAGTTCTTAATAGAGTTTTTAAATTATACATACTTTAGTTGGAGCAAAAATATGAAGACGGTCTATGTCTTCAACCCACGTCCGCCTACTTCCCCCATCTCTCAA